AAAAAAAAAAAAAGATAAATTTACTTTTGCCCATTTACTCCAAAATAATGTCAAATGGGAGACAGTTTTATAAAAGGGATGAGCTGGGACCTAAAAGATGAATAAGAAAGAGAAGGAAGAGGTAACGTTTAAGGTTAAGGAATAACACAAACAGAACTGAGAACACACAAGGTCTACATAACGAACGGGGAGTAGAATAACTAGAGCACAGAACTATTAATACTTTGATGTAAGCCCTTTAATAAATGGATGGGAAGCCTGGAAGGGAAGCAATTTGAGGAAACCAGATCAATTTAGTTATGGACAGATTAAGGGTTGCCTATAAAACAATTCAAGCAATGTTGTCAAGTAGGCAGTTGAAAATATAAACTCAGGAAGAATCTAGCAATCTACAATAGATCTAGGAACCATCCCACAAGCAGTTCAAGGTGAAAGCCACAGAATACGCACTTATTACTAGTGTTAGATGAGCCCCAGGCTACGAGACTTGGTTAAAGGTACTAATCAAGGTAGAACCAAAGGTAGTGATTATTTTAAATTGCCTAAAGGCAATTCAATGAACTCTGTAAATAGTCTTCTGATCAGTCCAGATTTTCTTCCAAATATTAAAATTCTATATAAATACACACACAAATTCTGCAGCAGTTCAGGAGAGAAGTCTCCAGAGATCAGAATACTGCTGATTTGCACCGCACTTTCAATATACAACACCTCTCTCCACGGGAGAGCTCCCTGTGCCTTCTTTGCATCAACATTGAGCTTAAAAGGCTCAATAACATTTTTTTAGAGGTGAAGAAACTGAGGCTGAAGAAAGAAAAACTACCTGCTCAAGTGGCAGAATCCAGGCCATGAACACAGGTCGTCTGACTCTAAACCCAGTGTGATCAGATGAATGGCAATGCAAGATGGTCTTGAACCTTTATGTACACTAATCTCTGTCTACATACTGAATACTATTTTTCAAGTGTAAGAGGATGGTTTTTTTCTTTTATAGTATTAAGTCTTTTTTCTGATTAAAAATCAATACGTGCTCATTGTAAAAAATGTTCTTTTATAAAATTGTATACAATAGAAAGTGACATTTCCCCAAAATCCCAACTCTCAAGATACCTGCTACCAATAGTTTGGAGTATATTCCACAAGACCATTTTCTCTATTTCTTTTATGCTTTTGTTAATGCACATGTAGGAGCTATATAAATGTGTATATGTGCTTGAATACATTTACACACTTGCAAATGTTTCTACTGGGTCAATTTTTAAAAGCAGAATGTTGGGTCACAGAGTATACTGTAAATTTTAATAGCTATTGCCAAATTGCTTTCCAAGGAGGTTGCACCAACTTTTATTGGCATACAATATGCGAATGATTAATTACTTAAAATGTAAGATTTCTATAAAAGACAAAAAAATCATAAATGAAGTTCATGCAAAAAACAAACTCTGCCGAAAGTTCTTACAAATAAAAAATTACAAATAAAAAAATGAGCAAAGGTTATGAAAATAATTATAAATACAAATGGTCAACAAAACTCTATAAGCCAACATTTAACCCCACTCAGTAAAGAAATCCAAGTTTGACAAAAGCAACATCTTATTTTTTACCCATCAAACTGACAAAGAAGTTTAAAGACTGATATTAATTAACTAGCAGAACATGGGGCCGGGGTAATGGGAAGAGGGATAAACTGGCTCCACTCCTGCAGGGCATTGTGGTTATGTGTGAACATGTTAACATACATGGACTCTGACCGGCAATTCCACACTTAGAAATTGAGTCCACCTCAGTAACCATACAAAGGACACCAAACTTCACTTATAGTAATGCTGAATGCCGTGTTGAAAATAACAGCAAAACCTTGGAAACAGTCTAAATGTCTAAAAATCAGAAATAATTAAATTATGTTAAAATCATACAATGGCATATTTTGTAGCCATAAATGATGCTGTGATATTTATTTTAAAAATGTCTATGATATATACACACACACTCAAGCCATAAGAGAAATTTCTTAAGCTATATTTCAGGATATCAATAATAGTTATATCTACATGGAGGAATAACAGGCAATTTCTCATTACACATTTCTGTAATTGTTTTGAACTGTACGCATTGTGTTTACTTTTATATTAAGGAAAACACTAAGAACATTTTCATGTAGAAAGATACGGGAAACACTGAAAAGCTGGGAATCAATGGGCCAGAATCAGATGGTATTCTAAATCCTTTCACATTCTGAAATTCTACATAATAATTAAGGAAAAAATTATTCCACGGTGCTTTTTCATTATTTATGAAAAACTTGCTCAAGATTTATTCTTTCCCTAGATCTTCTGAGGAAATTAAAATGTAAGAAACATAATATTCTCCATTCACATATTTTGATTTTTTAAATAATGATGGCTGCATCTTGGGAGCACAGAGAAGGAGTGAAGAGAATAAAAAGATGATAAAATGTTAGCATAGACTAAACCTTCCTCAGGTTTCAAAACTCTCAAAGAACGTCAGTGCAAATCTCCAAATTTAGGTCCTACAGATGGAAATGCAGACTCACTGTTCTTAAAGATCTGTGTATATAATATTATCGTACTGAAAACAGATACTGTTCCTGAGTTGTAACTGCAGGAAAGAAGTTAAGGCAAACATAACAAGTTAGACTTACATTTAACTATTAGCTGAACTATATTACCTAACCTTTATTCATCACATGTTTTAAAAATGCATATAAAAGTACATTCAAATATTCAATTATGGTTTCAACTCTTATTGATTACATGTGATAAAAAAATAACAATTAAATAGTTACCTCTCCTATGAAGACTACTATTACACAGTCCAACTTCTCTTCAGGATACAGATTATCAATAAGGGAATGAAGCGTTTCTATGAGGTAAGATTTAACTTCTCTCTTCACTGTGGGAATTCCCATTACTATTGAAACTGAAACAAAATAATGATATTAAAAGATTGTACAAAGACAACAGAAATAAACGACACTACTTCAAAAGTATTATACCCTTTCAAATTGATAAAAATAATTGAGGGACCAAAATATACAACATTTCAGAAAGAAAAATAATCAAAGGATATAAAGGTATACCCATAAAACTGTAATTCTTTTCCACATGGCTTATCCATAAAAAATCATGTCAAAGAATCAATAAATATGAAGGACATTAAACCTCACATTGAAAACGAATGACTGTAAAGTATAAACAACAAATTTAATTATACAACTAAACCTTAGAAACACTAAACATATCTTAAAAGTTAATGTCTCACAGCTTATGTATATGGTGCACTGAGAAGGACACAACACCCCATCTGTAGTTTCCTTGCCAAAAACGTATAACCTCGATCTAACTATGAAGAAACATCAGACATATCCAAATTAGGGGAGTACTCCACCAAATAATTGGCCAGTACTCTCTCAAATGTCAAGATCAGGAAAGACAAAGACTGAGGAGCTATCCCTGACTGAGGAAGACTAAAGAGACATGACAATTAGATGAAATATAAGATCTTAAGCTGGATCCCGGACAGAAAAATAGTAATGAAAAAAATGTCAAAATCTGAATAAGATCTAAGATTAATTAATACTAGAACACTAATTTTAATTTCCTGGTTTTGATCACAGTACTATGGTTACGTAAAATGGAAACATTTAGAGCAGCGGTTCTCAACCTGTGGGTC